CAGGAAATGGGATCAGAGAGGCAGGCAGAACCAGATGATGAATGAGGTAGTAGACAATGGTCAGCAATTCAGGATTATTTAGAGACAGATGGGAACCACTAGAGGATTTGGAGCGGAGAAGTGGCTTGTTCTGACGTAGGTTTTGAAGGGCTCACTCTGACAACTCGGTGAAAATGGCCTGTATGTCGAGCAAGGGACTTACAGGCAGGGAAACCAGGTAAGACTATGGCCATCGTCCGGGTGAGACGTGATGGTAGCTCAGAGTAGGCTGGGGGGGGGAGGAGGTGGTAAGCAGTGCTCAGACCCCAGGGACATCAGAAGGTAGAACCAATAGGATTCACTGAGGGTTTGGAAGCAGGTGTGAGAAGAAGATGTGTCGCAAGATGACTCCTGGTGAAGTTTCTGGCTGTACCAAAAGAAATGACAGCCTTGCTGCTTACTGACATAAGGAGGGCTGGGAAGGAGTAGATTTGAGAGGGAAAGTAAGAGTTCAGTTTTGAAAGTAAGAGTTTCAGTTCATGCTAAGTTTGAGATGCCTTCTTAACGTCCAAGTGGAGATCACCCTTGGTAATCTCAGTATTACTGCGGTTGATTTGACATTTGGGATCAGGGCTGGCAATTCAAATGTTTTCTGGGGCCAAGCAGGAAACATAAGTGTTGAAGTACAATAAGGGAAGGTAGGGACTGTGGCCAATCAGAGGGTACATGCCCCATCTAAAGGGGAAGCTGCTCCTAAGCCCTGTCTAGTGTTGCCCATTCAGAATCTGGGTTCCAGTGTTCCTAGATCTTCCAATTTCTTTTTTTTTTTAATATTTTATTTATTTATTTGACAGAACAAGAGAGGGAGAGAGAGAGAGAGAGAAAGCACAAGCAGGGGGAGCGGCAGGGAGAGGGAGAAGCAGGTTTCCCGCCGAGCAGGGAGCCCGATGTGGGGCTCAATCCCAGGACCTAGGATCATGACTTGAGCCAAAGGCAGATGCTTAACCGACTGAACGCCCAGATCTTTCAATTTCTTAACAGAAAGAAGAATGTAGATATTTAACAACCAAATCTTAGGAGAATAAAAAAGTTCCACAATCTATTAGATTCTAGAAATACTCAGTTAAAGTTCTAACTGCAGGATTTATCAGTGTCCTTAATTTATTAATGTATATTGCAAAAAGAGACTGTGTTTAGCATTTCTCTTACTTGACAATAAAACTCTCTTTTCATGCAACATCTCAAGGGGAAAACATTCTTTGGCACACACATCTGGAAATGCTGATTTATGTATAAGTCCTAGATGTCTTAATCAACCTCTTTATTTCCTTTTTGAAAAATTTAGGGCATATATTTCTTGCAGCTTATGAATCATAGTTGAACTCGTTTCTGTGTCTGTCTCTCTCTCTTTCTCACAAACATACACACACAGAGCTAATTTTGTTAGATGTTCTAACATTGAATATCAGTCTGGAATGAAACTTAATGGAGCAATTACTGAAGCCTTCTAACTTGTTAAATACTAAGTGGAGTCTTGACCCTCTTGTGCTGATGAAGAAACACTTAGTGAAATCACGGGGGCACTGAATCACTTCACTTCCTAGCTCCTCTCCCTCCTTCACCTGTTGTGCTATAGAATTTGGCTACACGAAGGACGGCCAATTACTACCACCATGCGCTTGGCAGATATTCTTTGTTTTACCTAATCTATGAAGAAGGAAGAAGAGAGAGGAGAGTGGCAAGTTTGTGATAAGAAGACAAGACTAATACCATTGCAGGTCTTTAAAAATATCCTCTAAGATATATCAAAATATTTGAGGTGCAAGGCTTGTCCCTGAAGAATCAGAGTGTGTCATCTGCTTAAAAGAGCTTACAAAACAGTTGAGGAGATCAATACATAAAAAGATAAACAATATAGGGATGTCTGGGAGGCTCAGTTGGTTAAGCATCTGCCCTTCGGCTCAGGTCATGACCCCGGCCGGGGTCCTGGGATCGAGTCTCACATGGGGCTCCTTGAGCAGCAGGGAACCTGCTTCTCCCTCTGCCTGCCACTCCCCCTGCTTGTGCTCACTATCTCTCTTTCCCTCATTCTGACAAATAAATAAATAAAATCTTAAAAAAAAAAAAAAAAGATAAATATGCCAAACGTTGTCAAAAAGTTCTGTGAAAGTTCGGAGAAGGGAGAGAGCAAGATGGGGTTGAGTGGTCAGTGAAAGTTCACATGAGCCAGTCCTTGAAGCCCAGGGATGGATCAGGTGGAGCAAGTGTGGTGGCAATTCCACGTAGGAAAGACAAGGGCAGAGACAGGGACAAGGCAGTTTGAGGAACAATGCACAGACAAGACTGTACAGGGTGGGAGGAAAATGGGACGCTGAGGCTGGATCAGATCATGGAGGTCATGGGATACCGCGGAAGGAAATCTGGCCTTCATTGTGTTCGCAAGCAAGAGTCTTTGAAGGGTTGTGAGAATGAATCTGCCATATTAAGGAAAATCAGTCTCACAAGGCCATAAGGGAGACAGTGAGGCCAGAGTACCGTGGAGGATGCTGGGGTGATGAGAGTCTGGGCTAGCGAGTAGACAGTGGAAATAGAAAGAAGTGGTCACATTATGAAGAGGAAATAATCAACAAAATTTGTCAACCTACTGAATGTGGGAGAGGCAAAGGAGAAAGGAATGGCTTTGACCCCGGGTCCATGAGAGAATGATTATCCTGAGAGCAAACGAGCTTATATGTATAAATTTAAGATGTAGTGATACATCTAAGTAGAAATTCCCAATCAATTAGTTAGTGATCTGGAACGAGAACTTGGGAAGGACAGGCAAACAATGTGCATTAAGGTATCAATGTATTCTCAGCTATGTGCAGATCATTTACTTATATGATCCATATATGAGAAATAGCATGGACTCCATTTGCGTCGATGCCCATCAAATCAGGAGAATGGTAACATTCAAGGAAGACTAATTCATCACACTTTCTCCACATCCCTTCACTAGGAAAACAGTCACACACAAAAATAGGTGCATATAAAAACCACCGCATCATAGGAGATCCCAGGATCACTCAAAATTTCTGATTTCCACAAGTTAATACTGGATGTGAGGAAGTGATGGAGATCGGGAGGGAAAAACAGAACTCTAATTGTTCTTTATTCTCTCCCCTGAGGGAGATGAAAAGACAGGAGTCAGGAAGGAACCAAATAGGAGGCAGGAAGGAACCAGAGAAGACAGTATTTGGGAGAGTTTGAACCCACTGAGATAAACAGAAACTAAAGTAAACCCTCAAAGAATAATGACCATTTGAACATTGTCTCAATTTACAGACACGTTACTTCATTCTCATCACAAGACTTTTCATTCACCAGCCAGCCAGGAGTCACCTAGTCTACCTTCAGACTCCCTCCGTGGACTGGGGTCTTGGTTTCTCCCCGTTGTTCTGCACGGTAGCCCCAGAGTGCATGACAGATGATTCCACAGCCATCATCTGTCTTTTCCATTTGCCACAATTCTCCAGGGTGACCTGGGTCAATCCCATTCTTCCCTCAGCAGCCAGGAAGGCCAGGCTGCTTAAAATATCTTTCAGTTGAAATGCCCAGGGCAAAGGAAAAAGGAAGAAGCCATAACCAGAAAGGACAGAGAAGCAGGTGAAGGATAAACTGAAATGCAAACTTAGAAAGCATCTCAGCATATAGTTGTTACTTAATATAAATGTGTTTTCATTCACGGTACTTTCACTTTCTTTTACTATATGAATGCAATGCAATAAACATTATAACTGTGTGTAATCATAGATTGAGTTAATGGTATAACTTCTTCTAATGAACAGAAGACGTCCTGCTTGAACTCTAGAACAAAGGACACCAGTGTCCAAAGTACCGGTAGCAGAAATATCTGCCTTAGAATGTAGGAAAGAGATACATGTAAGGGTTCTCTGATTCTTACAGATAACCCTGGAATCTCCTGCTAGAAATGGGAGAGGGAGTGCTGGGAGGGTCTGCAGACTGAGGCCTCCCTAAGGGAACACCCCCAGCAGTGCATTCCCACCATCTAGAAGAATGAATTCACATCTGGATTGGCTGTCTCAAGACCCAAGACTACACTATGGACTATGAAAAATAACTGATGTTCGTACTTCTGGAAACTAGGCAATATATCTTGAACACATAAAATAGGGAGGAAAATCACTGCAAGAATAATTTACTAAGCAAATGTCCCTCAAAAGGAACATTTTTATAAATAGTTAAGTAGACGTGCTTATTGTGAATTTCCAGTTACACAACAAAAAATCGTATCACGAGATAACATCATAATGGCCAACAGCAATACTCAGACATGTGCTGGGCAAAACAACAATCTGTTTTGACAGTGAAGAAAATTCACAGGACTAACTTCCCCCCACAGCCTTGGCAGCTAGAACAGCCACTGAGGTAGTAATGAAGTAACTCTGTAAACAAAAATAATGGACAGAATTGGCTCCATGGGATAATGAAAAAATAATTCATTTTCTCTACTGACTCTAAGCATTAGCAGAGCTCTTAAACTGCCCTTAATTCTCTGATACTATGATTTTATTTGTATCCTAATTCCCGAATCTGACTGTCACCACATTCCATGAAACACCCAACAGAAGTTAGTGCTGGGCAGGCCAGGGAGAGACTTGTAGGAAGAAGACCTTCTGCAGGCTCACAACCCTTTCCCTCTCTATGAATAAAGAGAGAGAGCAGAGAGTTCAAGTTCCTGAAATTGCTGCCCCTCTTTGGGTACACAGTGAGGAGGAAAGCAGGGCTTCCCCTAACCAGCCCTCCTGGTCATCTACACTCTAAAAAAGGATCCTAAATAACAGAAAAACAAGAGCAGAGTCTTCATGGCATCATCAGGTAGATCTACAGAAAACAGTGAGTTTTCCTGTGGAATAAAAATCTTCACAACAAGATTTCAGAATTAATTAGCAAGCCCATCATATCCTAATGGTACTGTATTTACAGAAAACAACAAAATGCACTTGCTACTATTCTCTTACCTGCCGACTGTCCCTATGGGAGGATGTTGAAGAGGAGGCACTTCTATGGGTTGGAGTGGAGGTTTTATGAGCAGGGGATATGCCCTTCTCGTCTGAACTCATAGCTGCAGTTAGAGTCTAGTTGTATGCGCTTAAGACCATCCCAATAGTGTCTCAAATTCGCAAAGAAGTAGATGATTTTTCAGCTTTAGTTCCATTTCATGAATCACGCTTGACCAGAAAAGTGAAGGTAAATATTGAAGGTGTCCAAAATACCTAAAAGCAAAACAAACAAACAAAACCTCATGTAATTAAAATACAAATTAAAAAAATCAGTATATTTAGGAAAAAATACCAAAATGTAAGTGAAAGGAAGAGCTTTGACATATTAGGAAGTATTATTTCTTCTTCTAGATTTTAAGGTGGAGGCTAAAAGTGTTAATATGAAATAAATGTCAAGAAGGAAAATGGAAAGAAACCATATGCTAAGTCAAATTCTTCCCTCACATTCTCTTGTTTTAAAGCAGATTACAATGTTATGTTCTGGACCCTCATGTCAGAGGGTCATCATGTCAAAGTACATCAGTTTTCTCCCCTGGAAGTTAAATTCCCTGCCCAATGGCTCAGCCCATGTCTGTCTTCAGTTGAGTTCAGTCATGTACATGATGGTTAAATCCAACACAAAACAGACACAAAGGGCAAAAGGGTTCATGCATTTTCTGTATTGTGTGATCCAGCATTTAGGAAAGATCAAGAATACACTTACCCACAGTTATTTGCATCTCAAGACCATGGCATACCTACATATGATTCTCAAGTCAATGACCAACAGGCTCTCAAGAATCTACAGACAGATGGGCTTGTTCTGAAACTGGGATAATGCTTGGAATTGCTTCAGCAAAGAGCCACTTCATTTTTCACTTGGATTCATGTAAGGAATGCCTGCATTGTAAGTACTAGGACCAAAAACTTGTGCCTGAGAGAAGCATTGTTCAACTGGCAACATAGGTTGCCAGAAAAAGTATTTTTTAAAGGTAAGCATGATAGTGTAAGATGAGAAGCTTACCCAATAATCTGTGACCCACAAGACTGACCAGTCTCCTTTTCCAAAAAGACAGAAGACCAAATTCTAGCCCCCATCTTAATGATAATACTCCCTGAAGGAAGCACAGGACACTTGGGTAAGTATTACAGCACAGTTTAGAAGAAAAAGTTCCTGGCAATGATCAGAAAGCAATCTTAAAGCTAAAGAAAAGTGAGACCTGAAATTCAGTCCAGAGGAAAAGATGGTCAATCAAAAAATCAAAAAAGAATAAAGATGGAGGAAGATACATGGCAAGAGGAACTCACTGGATTTGGAGGTCAGAGGTATCCCTGATCAAGTGGGTTTGAGCTGAGGTCTGAAGGATGAGTGGGGGTTAACCAGGTGCTTGGGTGTCAGGCCTGACATGATCAAGGAATTAGTGCTGGCCATCATGATGAGAGCGGCATGATGGGTCAGAGAGAGGCAGAGGCCAGTCCCCACGGGGCCTTGTCAGCCATGTTTAGCAACTCGATTTTTTATCATAAGCATAAGAAGCCATAAAGGAGTGTGGTCTAACCAGATTTGTGTGTTTAAAAGGATACTTTGACAGTCACGAGGAGAACCAAATTGGGGAAATAAAGAAGGTGAGGGAGGCCCAATCAGGAAGCAAGAAATGATGGATTAGAGAGGTTGGCAGGAAATTCTGCATCCAGTCTTGGCAGTTGTAACAGGATATGGAGGAATGGGGGGGGGCAGGTGACGGGGGAGGAGAAGGCAGGGTTGAGGAAGCCTCCTGAGTTTCTGGTATTCTGAGAGAGGGCTGGCCAAAAGAAATCCAGGATTGACAGAAAGTTCCGAGTATGGTTTGGACCCACTGAATTTCAGGTATAACTGAGGCATTCAAATGGTGACGAATGCTCGGAAATGTAGTTCCAGAGCTCAGAGAAATTTAGGCTGTAGACAAATGTTTAATAGGTTATGTTACTAATATAAATGTATTGCATGATTTATGTACAGATCATGTAAACTCTGCAAGTGCAAGTAAATTTTATACAGGTCTGAAATAGTTATATTTTCTAAATATGCAACATTATGTTAATGGGTTATATGACCCTGAATGAGTTAATCAGGATTTTAATGGTCACCTGGCTTTAGAGAATATTCAAAATAACAGTCCCAATAATTAAAAGGCAAATTATTATAAATTGGGAAAACTGGACTCTCTAGTGAATAAAACTTGTAATCCTTTCTTAAAATTTCAACTTCATTGTCACCACCACTTAGCCCCCAAACTGGAAAGTTTTCTCTTGAAAAAAACTGGTCTTTGGGTTAATAGAAACATAAAGAGCTACAGTGCTCTTTCATGGGGTGGAAATCAGGTTCCACTTAGTATTGTCAAAAGGCAGTAAGAAGCCGATATTTGATAGACGATCATCTAATTCTTTTATTATATGAAGGGAGTCTAATAGGTGTGAGTAAAGGGGCGCCTGGGTGGCTCAGTTAGTTAAGCGTCTGCCTTCGGCTCAGGTCATGATCCCAGGGTCCTGGGATCAAGCCCCACATTGGGCTCCCTGCTCAGTGGGGAGCCTGCTTCTCCCTCTGCCTCTCCCCGTGCTTGTGCTCTCTCTCTCTGTCAAATAAATAAATAAAATCTTTAAAAAAAAAAAAGTAAGTGTGAATTAAATTTTTCAAGCCAAGCTCTGATGCCAGCAAACAGAAAGCAAGAACACTGCTCAGGTCCTTGATCTGAAGTACTTTCTGGTCCAAGACATTGTACAAGATGCTGACACTTGAGATAAGAGTATGGAGGTTCTGTGATGTGTTCAAGTGCCCCCAAGGAATGAGGTTGAAACAATCAAACCTATTAGACTGCTATCCATTTGGAAATAAATTCAATCCACACTACATCTAGAGCCAACATTTCCTCTTTTGAACTTTTTTTTCTTAACTGCACCCAACTCCCAACTGTACTTTCCCCATTAACACCAATGCTAACACCTTGGTTCTTGTTTTAATTTAAAATGACATTTTCAGGGTCACTTGTCTACAATGAAAGGGCAACATTTTGGTTGAATGATAATTATGAATATCTTGAATAATATCAAGAATGAAAAAAGGCAATTAAGAGGATTTAATTCATTCTAAGAATCATTTTTGACATTGTTGTTTCTATTAATTTTTGAATTTTTTTTAACAAGGATTTCAAGTACCTAAAGTTAAATAGGAAGACCTTTAAAGATTATTCCAATCTGATTATCAATCGTTTGATCACCTGTTCTATTTCAAAGTGCATTAAGAAAGTAAGTCTAAATTCTGTTAGTAGGTTACACCTAGTCTTTACTTTTAGAGTGTAAGAATTAGTGTGACATTAAAAATAATTATTTCATCTCTATCAAAGCACATGTTCATAAATTGCCTAAACAAAATCCTAAGCCAAGGATTTTATTTTTTTATTTTGAAATACCATAGATTTTAAAGTCAACACCAACATAATTCCTATACTCAATGAGAAAAATATTGTTGCTGAAAATAACAGCAATACAAGAGCTGAACTCTAATTTTCTTGTCTCCTTCCCCGTTCATATCAGTGGTATCACTACAATTGTTTTAAAAAGTGCTCTAACATTTGCATTTACACTGAGTGACATAAAATTCAGATTTATGACCCAGAGACTTAACTAAAGCATGAGGTGTCCAGGAAGACTTCTAGAAGCTGCTGTTCATAGGCTTCATAAATCGCATGTGTTCATCTGAAATTGAACTCTGATGAAAACACCTGAAACTCGACTATGTAGGCTGGGCTAAGTTGTGACATGGTAATACATAACCCCCAATCTCAAGGGCTTACAAGAAAGCTTTATTACATGTCTCATTTACATGTCCTTTAGAGGTCAGCTGCACCCCTACTCTATATCTTCTTCATTCCAGGTTTTAAGAGTAACTCCCAGGTAATGAGGGAAAACAGCCATGGGGCACCATGAGATAGTTCTTAAAGTGTTTGCTTGTAAGAGGCACATGTCACTTTCACTCACATCTCATTGGCCAAAGCAGGCCAAATTGAGGTTGATGATGCATGAAAGTACCATGCATCCAATATAAGGCAACGAATACTTAGGGGCAATAATCTACTACATTCACCTTAGGAAAAGATTAAAAGCTCATATGAAAATATTTAAATTAGACTCATTTCATCACCTAGAAATAACCCCAGTTAATATGTGATTCTACTTTACCAAAGTGGGAAAAGAATATCCACTCTATCTGCAATACGCTTTCTTCAACCAACAATATATTAGTAACAGCTTTCTTTGTGAACAAAGGAACATCAGTATCATGGCTCTGAATCACTACACATAAGGGCCACCACACAGATATACCATGATACATTTGGCCATGCTTCTACTGGGACATTTAGGTTGTATTCCATATATCCTGAAACAATGAGATTTGTCACAGAAGAGTTCCTAATAATTCTGTTTGCTTTTGATTATTATAAAAATGACCCTCTTTGTTCAATTCAATACTTTTTTGCTTTATTTGGTATCATCTGCTCTCTTTCTGTTTGCAAGTGATTAATGAAATTTGTCCAACTTTCTGTATCATTTTGTATTATGTATTCCTCTAGTAATGATCATGTTGGGTTTTTTTTTTTTAAAAATCTAATATTAGTGACGTTTTTCCCATTTCCTTTTAATGTTATAACTAATAGTTGGGCTTATCTCTGCCATATCATGTTGCACTTTCTATTTTATGGTTCTTCTCTGTTTCCTTTGATGCTTGATGGCTTTTTTTTATAATACAGATTTTAACGTGGTTTTAATTGAATTTTATATCTGACCTTAATGTGAAAGATAAAATTCTGCTTGTAATGTTTTATTTCCCTTCAAGTTGCTCTAAGTCCTGTTGGAACCTACAGTGTGTAAGTGAGAGAGTCAAGAGTAAAATGGTATCCTTCTAGTCTCCCTTGCAATATAAGACCTCCCCCACACTACCCTAAATCAAAATTTTATCTTCCCAGTCCTTTTCCCAATCTTGGTGATTTAATCTGGAGTTTTAGAGAATTACACTTCGTATTCTAACACAATTGGGAGGAAATGATACCACTTTTTCTGGTTGAGGACAACTAGGGTCTCCAAGTATGAGAACAGATTGTAAGAATTAAGTAATAATTTTTCTGCCCTTTTTCAGTCTCCTTTTCTGCAATAGCAGCTGAGGTTTGTCATAATCAAGACCTGGCTCAGCCAAGATTTTC